TGTTGCCAGATGAGTCTGTATGTCCGTTTCATGGTGTAGGCTCCTCCAGGATCACGTGACATTTGTAGTCCCGCCCAGCACACACAAAGGCAAAGAACATACATGGTTGCAGGATTATTTCTGCTCACCCTGAAGACTGTCTACTTTATCATCAAACTGTGCTATTTTTTTTTTTTAGATGTCAGGCTTTGTAGCGGGGCTCGCATTGAGCTGGCTGTTGGGTGAAGCAGTGGGGGTAAGGACGGTACAATGTCTGACATCTCAGGGATTCTCAGGCTGTAGTACCCCTTCATTCCTTATGTTTATTCATAGGGACCCCTTGGCTGAAAGGAGTACCTGGGAGTTTTATTGTTTAAGTAGTATCAGACAGATCAGATGTGCCTAACGTTGGAGCAATTATTTTTAAAGGTAGCACATTGGTCACAAAGATGTATTTTTGTCATGAGCATGACCATTAGGCATCTTTTAAAAATTGCTGTATGTCTTGTATGACATACAAGGGGGCATGAATGTCGCAGCGTTGCCAAGGCCAGAAGACAACTTCCAGAATGGCCTGTCTTCTTCCATCTTTACCTGGGTTCCAGAGATTGCTCTCAGGCCTCTGCATCAAGTACTTTACCCTGTGAGGAGTGTCTCAGGCCACCTAAGCTGTCTTAATAGTCTTGTTCATGATACGTTAGTGTCGCTTCTGTGTGGGGTGTGACCTAGTCAGTGGTGTTGAGACTGGTGACGATGAGAATCTCTCTCCCTTTCCATACCCTCAGCCTTTTCCTGTTTCCTCCCCCCACCCCCCCCCATAGGCCTAGAAAGTCTAGAATTTTACCATCTATGTTTTCCAAGTCTCAGCTAAACCCCAGGTGAGGCGTGGCCCAGCGGCAGCTCCTGCCCCAGTCCAGATGGGGCAGGCGTCTCCAGAACTGGTTTCAGCTTTGCCTCAGTTCTGTTCTAGACAAACCAGTGTGCTTTGCATTTTGGTGTTGCTGAGATTCTTTCCCCACAACTGTGATGAGGTGCTCCTATGGAAGCAGGTTAAGTGGGGGGGGGGGGCTCATTTAAGCTCTCGGCCCCAGGCTGCCCCCATCATGGGGGAAGTGAGAGCAGAAGGAGCTTGAAGCTGGTCGCCACTTTGTGCACTCAGTTAGAGAGCAGACGGGTGAAGGCTTACTACTGTTAGGTTTTCCCCATTTATGCAGTCCAGGACTCTAGCCAGGGCGTGGTGCCACCCACAGTGGGTGGGTCTTCCCTCAACTGATACAGTTATGATAGCCCACCACAGACAAGCGCAGAGGCCCACCTCCCAGGTTGTTCTGGGTTCACTGGAGTTGACATCACCAGTGGGGCCTCAGGCAGGTTCTAATAGACCCGTCATTCCCCCCGACAAGTGGAAACTAGACCAAGTTACCTGGATTTCTGGCTCAAACTCTAAACCTGATACGAGATTTAAGAGTAGATTGTAGAAAAGTACATTTGTCTCTCGGGGGCTTATCCTTGGGCAACTAGACTGCAACATTAAGTCAGTGAATCAGATACAGAGAGACCAAGACATTCAGACCTCCATGGGGCACCTGGGCAGCCCTCCGTGGCTTACATAGACACACGTGCTCACGGGGCACCTGGGCAGCCCTTCGTGGCTTACAGAGACACGTGCTCACAGGGCACCTGGGCAGCTTTCCATGCCCTACACTGAAATCTTCTATATTTTCGCTGACCTGCTGCTCTTAGGCAGACAGACTGAGTCCTGCCTCTCACCTAGGGGAAGCACTGGAACATTGGTGGTAATGCTGTGGCATCACTGTGTGAAATGCCACGCTCCTATCCTCCCGGGAGCATAGATGTTTTCACGTACACAGTGTGTTCGGGAGATTGACAACTATCTTTTGGTATGAACCTGAGAATCTTTGCTCATATATTAAAAGATCTTGAAAACATGTTTGAGCTGGCTCTTGTAAGGGTAAGAATCGTCATGTAGAAGACTAGGTACTGCTTGTTATCTGCAGAGAGAATTCAGTTAGACAAGTACATTTCTCTGACGTTAGTAACTCACCACAGATATAGACTAGAAAGTAAAATGGCAGTCCTGTAAGGGCCTCAACCAATGGTCACTGTGTGTAATTTGTTAGTAAAATTGAACACCCAGAAGGTATGCATTTTGTCAGAGTTCATACTATTGGTTCATGCCTGGTCTGTAAACACGAAAACCTATGTTTCTGAAATGTTGCCTCCCCACTAAAGTATGGCTCTGATAGACTAGGCATATACAGATTAGATTGCTGATAGCCACAGACCATTTGAAACTTACTAGGGTAGGTTATGTCTAAAATTTTATCTTTGTGTTTCAGGTCTAAAAAATGAAAATTGTGTGAAAACCTCAGGTAAGACATGTTTAAATGATCATCTGTCATGGGAATTTTGTTAATTTTTTTTCCCTCACAAGTATGGGTGAAATGCCACTATTGCCACCCCCACCCCACGCCATACCATTATACTGTGATATGGTCAGCCATCCTCCCTTAAGGCTAGAATGTGCTCTTGTTAGTGGCTCTAAGTCCATTCGCTGTCCCCCAGAAACCAACGTTCAGGAATTGGGAGTTAGGAGGAAGAAAACCATGTTTATACACAAAGGTCAGCACCCTGAGAAATGGGGCAAACGGTTATTTTGGGGTCCATCTCAAGTATAGGAAGGGACTTTACAGGAAGGTGAGGCCATTTAAAGGTAGTTTTCTTGAGAATTGACAGTGCTGGCCACAGGACAACGTTACACAGGCACTTCGCCAAGTGAGCCAGGCTGCGGCGGGCGGGGTGGTTAAAGACACTGGCATTGCTGCTTTCCCGGGGAGAGCCGTCCCTGCCCGTCCTGATCTTCGCCTGTGGCTGTTCTCTCAAACACTTCTTGTCCAGGGCAGGCTGGGTCCAAGCCACTCTCACGTCGCCCGCCTTACAGGAACTTCCGGACTGGGACTGGTGAAGGCCCTCGCGGCTTCAGCCATTTCCCACATGGCTCACGTGCAAAGAGCCAGACTTTAATGCCTGTGTTTTGGCATCTCAGGAAATAACATTTGGGAGAGGAATGGAGAGAGTGTGGCGTAAAAGAGAAAGAAGGCCTGATGGGACCCGATGGGTGGCTTCAGCTTACTGGGGTGGGGGGTGGGGAAATGGGACGATGTAATAAAAAGTAACAACCAGTGTGGAGGTGGCGGGAGGGTCGAGGAGGAACACCCGGGAAACTGAGCCTATGGGGGCTCAGCATTATCGGGGGGCCCCACAATGCTGTCAAAGTGAAGAATGCCTTCAACTAACACAAGCTATCAGGGAACCGTTTGGAAGATTTCCTTACTCAAATGCCTGAAAACAAGAGTCTATTTCTAGCTGTCTTCCTGGTTAGCTTTTCTATGCATTATTCTCTGGGTTAAAGAAAAATAAATCCATTATCTCCATGTCTTTGAATTGAAATTTCATGTTTTTGTAACCATGCTTTGTAGGACAGCTGAGTCCTTACTGTTAGTATTTAAAGCAGACTGACCTTGGATGGCATCTGGGCACAGTAACATGGATGAAAATGTTTGTATTTCAGAATATATTGAACCGGTGTACATCTACAACCCCGGTGAGTATGGGCTTTTACGAACAGTCCAGCAAGCTCTTTCCTGTGGGCAAACGCACTTCCTACCCGAGTGAAGGTGGTAACTTGGCAGATCCAGAAGGAGGAGGGAAACAGTGTGTTCTGGAAAATGCCCTCCTCCCCTGTGGTTACTCTGTGACCCTCCCAGCAGCAAATGTTCTGGGGAGTAAAGGCGGGGCCACCCGCAGAGCTCACCCAAGGCCAGTCTGTGGGGCCTGTGTAGCTCCTATTCCACGGCTGAAATTAGCATAGGCGACACCCACATTCAAGTGTAAATTAATTCTCAGCGTCTGTGCCACTCCCCAGTAGCCGGATGTCTGATGTGTGCACAGAGCACACTCAGCCTAGTTGAGAACACAGGAACTTAACACTTATTTGAGTTAATTAGGGTTACCATATAGGAAACCAGAACTTCAAGCCATCTTGAAAGTGTGCTCTGAGATTTTACAATGTGGCAGCTTGATTGATGTACAGCCTTAAGCATTGTTGGTGAGGAATTAGGCGGCTACACGCCTCATCCTTGGGTGCTGTGGGAAGGGCCTGCTGAACAAAAGGCCAGCAGAAGACACGGGGTGTGTGGTGTGAAGCCCACCCTGGGAGGCGCCCTCCACAGTGCTGCTCTGTCTACTCTTCATTTTGATCTAAACCAACAGGGGATTTGATTTTTCTGTTTTCACATGTGGAGACTCAGAGAACTCATTGTCTGTATTCAGGTTCTTGGTTTTGCATTGGGATTATTTCTCTTATTGAAGAGAAAAAAACCTTGCCACTTTAAATGTGCCATTTTGTCTCTGTTGGGGCAATGCCTCCTGTCCCCACAGAGCAAAGCCCCTGGCTCACACCCTGAGGACTTGCCTACAACCCGCCTACTGGTCCTTTGTGTTCATAAATTCTGACCATTGCACAGGACCTCAGTCAGCTACTCAAACTAGACATTGTTTTCCTGCCTCCTTGACCCCCCCCCCCCACCCCGACTAGTTCTGTGCTTTACCTCAGTGGAGGCGGTGGAGAAGTGTCCAACATTGCCCACATACATAGAGACTCTAGGTGGCACTTGCATTCAGTGACATGCCTCTGGTCCCTGAGAGTTCTTTTCATCTCTTGGTAAAACTGATACATTTTGCTTGTTTGTGATGTAGATCTGGAAGGGCAGAAGCTTGAAGACTCTGGTAAGACACTCTCAAACTCTGGGACGTCACATTTGCAAGCTGTGAGAGGGTGGGGAGAAGCCAGAGCTCCTCTTAGCTTCCTAGTTTGATCTATCAGATTGAATTCTTTATAAAAACCACACAGGGGCTGGAGAGATGGCTCAGCGGTTAAGAGCACTGCCTGCTCTTCCAAAGATCCTGAGTTCAATTCCCAGCAACCACATGGTGGTTAATGAGATCTGGAGCCCTCTTCTGGCCTGCAGGCATGCATGAAGACAGACCACTGTATACTTAATAAATACATCTTTAAAAAAAGCCCAAAACCACACAGCACTCACGCCTGTAGTCGTCCAAGAAAACAGAGGAGGGTCTGCAAACTTGCGTGATCCAGAGCTGTTGACAAAACAAATAGCATTTAATTTTCCTAAATTAAAATGCGCATTCTTTGTATGCGGATCCAGGTAACACATGTACTCATGTCCACTTGATGAGGATGCTCCAAAGTAAAACTTACTCCAAAGTTTTTAATTAGAAAAGAAAGAAAAAAAGAAGTGTGGGCTGGAGAGATGGCCTGCTGCTGTTGTAGAGAAGGCAGGTTCAGGTCTCAGCATTCACAGCAGGTGGTTCACAGTTACTGTCTGTAATTCCAGTTCAGTGGCTCTGGTGCCTTCTGGCCTCCACAGATACCTGTGAGCAAGTGGAACACATACACACACTCAGGCACACACATGTACACATGGAAATAAATGTTTTTCTGTGTGAGTGTGCATGAGCCCACATGTATGTGAAAGCCTGCATGCATGTGAACATGTCTGTGGAGGCCAGAGATTGATACTAGGTCTCTTCCTGTATACTGAGACAGAATCTCTTCCTGTGAACATGAAATCCTCTGTATACTGAGGCGGGATCTCTCCCTGTGAACATGAAATCCTGTGTATACTGAGGCGGGATCTCTCCCTGTGAATGTGAACTGAAGCTCTCACTAGTCGTGTTTTGGGGATCTCATCTCTACCTCCCCCCCTACAGGGATTATAGGCTGGCCATGACACCCGCCTGGCTCTTATGTGGGTTCTGGGGATCCATGCTGTGCTACCCAGGCTTGCATGGCAAGCACCTTATCCACCAAGCCATCTCCCCAGCTTTAAAGTTCCTCTTTCTAAAGATGTTATTGTCTTCGAAGGCTAGGGTAGAAAGTTCTCAAGTTACTAGAGAGATCATTGAACACTTTTCTATTTTCTTTTTTCCCATGGTGCCTCGAATCAAACCCCGGGCCCCCTGCAAGCTAGGTAAGCACACTATTGTTGAGATACACCCCAGCCCCTGGGACAGATTTCCTAACGGTTGATCCAAGAGAATGTGTCACTAACCTTAAAAGTGACTCTACCTTTAACCAAGTTATAACTCGGAAACTAGGACAACACAGAAACTGTGGCCTCACAGACTCGGGCATTTTCAGGGCAGTAGTGCCAGCAGGTGTTTAGCCTGTGTGGAACAGGTACCGAAGGTGGGCTCCCTGCCCGCTAGGCAAGTGCCTCACCACTGAGCTATCTTGGCCCTCTATGTACTTTAGTTTTGAACTTGAAGACAGAGTCTGAGCTGAGCATGGTGGTGCTCACCTTTAACCCAGCAGAGACAGGCAGGTGTCTAGTATAAGTTTGAAGCGAGCCTGCTCTATATATTGAGTTTCAGGTGGTAAGAGATCCTGTCTTCAAACCAACAACACAAACAAAACAAAAAACCAAAACCAAAAAAAACAAACCTCAGACAGGGTCTGATTAGATTAGCTGATCTTGAACTCATTTTGTAGTTCAAGCCTTTAACCTTGCTCTGCCTTCTGAGTAGCTGGGATTTGCAGCCTGTACCCCAGCCCCAGGCAATCCTATATTTCTTTAAAAGAGATGGCTCCACGGAGTCAGAAAGATACCCAGTTGTGGACAAGGCATGACTCAGAGGCTCTGCCCAGCAGCTGACCAAGCTCAGGTAAGCTCTGGCTAGGTCCAAGGCATTATGTGGCACCACAGAGCACATTGTGATATTCCTATATACACCACTCATGTGGGTTGCATACTATTAAATATTATTATTAAACACTAAACCTAGAAATTAGGCTTTAAAAAGCACTTATAATCATGTAAGAGCTGATGCTCTAGCTCACTAAGTGGAGTGCTGGCCTAGCATGTATGCAGACCTCCAGACACACACATACACACAGATGGTAATGTGAAAATCTATCCTTTTATATTGTATATGTGTGTATATATATGTATGTATGTGTTATACACATTATATATGTTTTATGTTTTCTGGTCATATACGTAATAAATGGTAATTGGAGAAATGAAAAAGATGGAAAATTGAGGATTAAAAATTAAAAAGTTCAGATCTCAGATATTAATTTGTAACTTTTTTGGTATATTTACTTTGAATCTTTTTGCGTATGTGTGTGTGTGTGTGTGTGTATATCTTCTTGTTTGTTTTTTGGGGTTTGTTTGGCGTTGGTTTTGGTTTTTGAGACAAGGTTTCTCTGTGTAGCCCTTGCTTTCTTGGGGCTATCTCTGTAGACCTGGCTGGCCTCAAACTCAAGAGATCTGCCTGCCTCTGCCTCCCCATCATTTGGCTATATATCTTTTTCAAAAAAAATTTATCATACTGGTGATCAAATCCCTCCACATTATGGGGCACCCACATGTTGTAGCACACTTGTGGAGGTCAGAGGACAATTCGTAGAACTTGGTTCCCCTTTTACTATGTGGGTTCCAGAGACTCAGGCCAGCAGGCTGGGTGGTAAGCATCTCCACCTGCTGGGCTGTCTTGCTGGCCCTGGATTGATTTACCTTTAATGAAGAACTGTCTGCTTACCTGAAGCGCTATCCTGAGTGACGAGACATAGCTCTCACCATAAATTAAGGTTCAGTGGCTTAGTGAGTCTCCCCTTCTCTTGTCATTTTGTCCCCTGTTGTTTCTCAAAGCTTTCTGAGGTTTTCACTAAAAAGAGCCCAACGTAAGCCTACATTAATGTGGAAAATGGATACTTTGTCTCATTTTGTAACTGGATCTCATGTAACCCAGACTAGCCTCCAACTAGTAGTAGTAGGGAATGATCCTGAACTCCTGATCTTCCTGTCTCTACCTCTCAAAACTGGGATTCCAGGCATTGGTTCCCATAGTGACTCTACCCGCCCCCCCACACACACACACAAGAAAGTTCTTATTCTTAGCCTTAGAAATAACGAGCCAAGGGCTAACCTGGTAAATGAATTCTCTTTCTTACTCTGTCAGACTAGCTATCAGGTTATAAATTAAACCACTGCAGATGGGACAGATATCACTTTTGAGTGGATTTTTTTATGCTCTGTTCAGTGAACCAATATTTCAGATGCAATATCTTCCCATTAATCCTTACTTCTTATAAAATGCAAGCTATATCTTTTGCATACTCAAAGACTCCAAAGTCAGACCTAATACCAACAGAGAGAGTGGGGCTAAATCAAGCAGACTTCAGCCCAGAACTGTTTCATTTAAAAATGGATGGATCACGTTAGGAAGCTAAACTTGGAGCAATGAGAACTAAATCATAGGTGCTCCTGAAATCTGGCTTAATGGACTTGAATTTATATTGTTGCTGTGACACTTATGACTTCCATATTTGAAGTTTGGAGGTGGGAGACAAAGGGGGAATGTTAGCAGTGCCATTAACTGATAAACACCAACAGCATTTATTTCTGCCTTTAGGTAGGAAAAGCTTTGACTCCACTGGACTACCAGGTAAGTCGTTTTCTCTTTACTCAGAGCTGGTCTGAGCATCACAGACGATGCCAGCATGGGATGATACTCAAAGGTTTTGCTTTAGCGGCATGCCAGTCATCTCTACAGCTTTCTCTGGAGTAGACTGTGCCCACCCTGCCTTCCCAGGACGCCTGGGCACTGGCTCTGGGCAGGACAGCTAGCTCTTCAGAACATGGCGCTGGGCCAGCTTGCTGGGACCTGGTTGCAGAGGGCCCAGGCCTTCCTGAAGCTCTGTAGACACTCTGCTGCTTGGACCGGCTGAGTATCCAGGCTCACAGGCTTCCTCTGGGCCCTGCAAGTAACAAAACACAGTACTCTGCCAGGGCAGGCTCAGCTCAGTGAGGGGTTATTCACAAGCTCCTCAAGTTTGGTGTGGATGTACAAAAGCCTGAAGCTATAGTGTAGTGGGACCTGGGGCTGGTGTCCAGTGCTCACGACCCAGGAGTCGGAAACGATCCAGGAGCAACCAGAGGCTGCTTAAATTCTCTTTATTTAGGGAAGAAAATTGCAGAACCTTTCCTCCTTCCTGGCAAGCCCTCGTAGACACATTAGAGGGCAGAACATGCCAGCACAGGATAGAGACATTGCCATCGTTACACGTGCCAGGTCCAGTGACTGGCACAGTCACACGTGACTGAAGGAGTGGGTCCTTCATTGTTTCTTCCTCAAGGCTTGCATTGCCTCGGTGACTTCCACCATATTTACCATAACAGATGCCACCTGCCTTTCACAGCAGCCACGAAACATGTTCTTTTAAAAGTAGGAGGGCTAGCCAGGGGCGAGTGTGATGAGAAATGGAGCCAGGGCTCCAGTAAGATTGCTTAGAAGTCCTTTGGCACTTCACGGTGATGGGGGAGAGGAAAACTCAAGAGGCGCATCTTAATCACCTTGCACAACAGTCACAATGCCTCTGTGGCTCGGAACTGTCACCTTTCAAATGTGACCACCTTGCCATAGCAACTTCACAGGAGCAGTGATTGGTAAGGAGTATGAAACCACAACCAATGCTTAACAGCCCTTCCTCTGGGTTCATATAGCCATTTAAAAGATTTTTTTCCCAGTAGATTCTGTTAATTATGGGTATGGTCATCTGTTTAAATGTTTAATTAGTCACTTAATTACTTAGTGGGATTGAACCTAGGGCTTATGCATGCTAGATGAGTACTCTACCACTGAGCTACATCCCTAGCAGATTTAGCATGTTGCTAAATCACATCCATGGTTCTGATCATTGTTGGCCACTGCTGTCTTAGACAGTAGGCCACATAGAAATAGCATAGTCACAGTTAACTTACAAAACAGACCCAGAAAGCAGGTCTAGGAAGTCTTTTGTACTGATCCAGATGGGCAGTGTTCCCCTTACATCATTTCCGTTCTTTGGGCCTAAGTTTGCACAGTGCTCTCAGGGGAATCTGTGGCCATCTGAAAAGCAGCTTCTGGCTGAGGGTGGAGAACTAATGGGAGCTATCTAGACAGACCCAGCATCAAGTTCCCCTCTACCTCTGGTAACTTTGTGTAAATAACTTCATTTATCCAAGCACCGATGATTCCACCTCTCAGAGCTGAGGATCTGATGTCACAAACTATCTGACAGTAGTCAAATAGTAAATAGAAGCTGCCATTTTTCATTAACTAAAAATCTTTTTTTTTTTTTAATTTAGGAATTAAAGTGCTAGAACCAGATGAAAATCCTTTCTGGATGGATAACAAGCCTGGTAATTCTTCATGGTGGGGAGGCCCATGGGATTCTAAGTTCTTTACCATCATCATTCAGATAGCTCAGGGTCTGGGGGAAGGCATCTGGGCTGTAGTTCCTGACACATCATCCTGATGTTAGAAGGGGGAGGGGCTGAGAACTCGCTTCTGTGTGAGCAGGTTGCCAAAGCCTAGAAAAGGCGAGGTGGCCTGATGCTGGACAGCGGTGTCCAGCTGTACTTTTATTCCAAAGCAGCTCAGGAGCTGTAGGGTGTAGATGCAAGAATTCACTAAGCAGCGTGGGAATGAGAACTTTACGGACACCTTGCACGACCAGCCCTTCTGTGGCATGCCTTCTCTTCAACTGGTTTTGTGTCCCTCCTGGAAAGCTGTGTGTAGTGCAGGCCCTCTAAGGCCAGGCTCATCTAATGCAGCAAGGTAGGTCAGAGACAGCCAGACTGACACCCTGGACTTCTAAATTATGGAAGTGTGGGTACCAGTACTCCAAGGCTAGCCGCACACCTGGTGGCGGGACAGCACAATCGGGAGCAGATGTCAAAGTTAGACATTGATCTCACGGATGCATTAGCTGATTCCATGAACATCGAACCTCAGATGGTGCAGACAACTGGTGCATCCTTGACGTGCTGGCTCTGCCCGGTAGGATAATAGTGTGGAGATGTGCTCCCGTGATGCACTGGCACTTAGTGAGTGGGAGACGGGCTGGCTTGTACTGGGAATCTGAGTTCAATATGTAGAAAGAAGGTTGGTAAACAGACTTCACATTTATTCTGATGAAAACACACACTCACAGGGTAAATTTCTCAGAGAGCAGATGTGTCAAAGCCCTCTCTAACCTCACATATGCCTCTGGACCAGTTTCCCTTGGCCCCAGGCCCACTCCCAAGGGAGAAACAGCTTGTCCAACTTAATGAGATCTTTCATGTCTGGAGAAGTGTATAATGCAGTAACTCAGAATCTCTTTATGTTCTAGAAGACAAACATCAAGGAAATGCTGGCAATCCTAGTAAGAAACACCTCCTTTTCTTTGGACGATAAATGCTCAAATATAAAAACGTGAAGTTAATTTTTTTTTCTCATTAAAAGCTGACAAAGTTGCAGGCATGTATATGCATGCCTAAGATGCCCCCACCCATCTGTCTCCTTTACATAGGCACTGTCTAGAGACTCTGGTTAGAACACTGTTTTCTCAAGCCGTCCTTTTTCAAATCAACAAGTATTTCATGAAGCCTTCACAGCACCCTGAAATAAGATCTGCAGTAAGATGTACCTTACCTATACAAGAATTGGATGCTCTGACTGTATTTTATAGTTATATGCAGTTATATTTGCAGTAAGATGTACTTTACCTATACAAGAATTGGCATGTTTTATAGTTATATGCCTCAATGCATAAATACTAAATTCATAAACATATCCTTTATGAAAATTTAAGTTGGAGCATACTGGAAGCTGTTCCATAAAAGATGAAAGTGAAGCAGCAGACAGGAGATAAACTGTTTAGTGTTAATTAAAACTATCAGAACAGCAGGTGGTGGCGGCGGCACATTCCTTTAATCCCAGCACTCGGGAGGCAGAGGTAGGAGGAGCTCTGTGAGTTTCAGGCCAGCCTGGTCTACAGAGTGAGTTCCTGGACAGCCAAGTCCACACAGAGAAATCCTGTCTCAGGAAGAACCAATTAGAAACTACTTGGTTTATACGGCAGGCCGCTGAGGTGTGTGAGTGCTGGATTTACATGTCAGGTGGCACATGTGAAGACTGCAGAGGGTGGCTCCATGCTTCGCTGTTGAAGGCTATCCTCGGCATTTCAGCGCCAGCTCCTAACAGTGGCAGAGCTAGCACCTGACTTCAGCCATTAGCACGGCAGTCTACCCTGGACAGCGTCTAGACTGCCTCTCTGATGCAGTACTGCCCACTTGAGAGCCACTCACCTGCAGAGCAGCCTGACACATGGGTGTATTGCCAATCCACCTCTAGCCACATGACTGGCATGTCTGCAACTCTGGCGAGCAAACTCATATGAAGCCCTAACAAGCTACTGTTTCTCTTGGCTTCGTGTACTATGAAACCTGACTGGTCTCATACACATCCCAGTTGGAGAAGCTCTGGGAACTCTCCCTTCGCTATGCAGTCTGCTTAAACCAAAATATAAGTTCGTTTCCCAGGTTTAAAGTGAAGTAACAAGCTAGTTTTCTCCAAAGCATGTAGTGGAGGAAGCTTTTTTGCCAGTTTGTGGCTGTGTTTTAAAAATGCAGTTGTATCCAGCTGTAACTGGTATCTGTATGAATGTACACATATTGTGTTATTTGAAACCAGACACTTGAGGTCAACTTTACAACCTATGATCTAAAGCACATGGGAAGAGAACATTGCTAAGAAATTCTGGTGCACTTGAGCAAGAAATAATTGTCTTGGTTGCCTATATAGATTTAAAAACCCTGTGAAGTCTGAGAAAAAAACAAAACCAAGACCAGTATGCCCTGATGATACCTCTAGAGATTCAGCCTGATTCAAAGCTGCATGCATGGGCAACAAGTACCTGACAGTGGCCTCTGACCGGGCCTGCGCTGCTCACACGGCTGTGCTGTCTGTATAGGTGGCGGGTACTCCGTCCACAGCACCACTCACCTGTCCATGTTCTCTTTAACAGCTCCGGGTCCCGCCCCCGCTCCAGGCCCCCGGAGCCACCCTTCGGCATCTTCTGGCAGAATGCTCCTCCCGTCAGTCACAGCATCCACTGCGCTCATTGTCACCTCTGCCGTACGCATCTTCACTGCTCTCTAGCTCGAAACGACACCTTAATGTTTATTTGGAAGACGCTATGGAGATCCCACAAGAGGCCAAGAGAAAAGGTGTCTTTCTCACTCGGGCAGACACACTGTGTAAAATAAGAACTGTATATTTGTTCCCTGGCTCACAGTTCAAAAAGCTGGTCCAGTTAGTGTCATAGAATTAACTCCTCATTTCTGTTTAAGTTTAGGATTGCAAAAATCCCAAAGCTGTATACTTTTGATTGGATTCAATAAAAGTTTTAAGTTTATTAAATGTTTTCCTGTAGAATCTTTGGATATTAAAAGACCATTACTAATGTGACTAACATGAATTTAATACCAGAATCAAAATGTGAATGATTTCTCTCTGAAGAACCAAACTATAAATAAATAGGTAGACAGAGATGGCAGGCTCTTGTTCCCAGGAGACAAAGCAGTAGAGAATTGTAGGCCGGAAGAGGCCACTGGGGACTGTAAGACTAGCAGCTCTGGGATCCTTCCCTTCCCACAGGGAGCTGTTACTTTGCTTCTGTGTATCTGTCTTCTGTCTTTCCTTCTGGCCAGTCCCCCAGATGACCATCAACCCCCCATTCTACTAACACTGTGCAAACGTGCTTACATGAAAGGTGAGATGCGATCCTTGGTCAGCTATCCACCGCTGGGCCTGTGCTCAGTGTCGTTTAGGTCTGTGAAGGGCACACAGAGCACCTTCCTTTCTACACTTGGCTCCAAAGATGGCAATGGACCTATCTTTTGAACCAAAGTGAAAACAAGCGCACACAAAGAAAACCTTCTCCCAAAGCCACTAGCATCACAACAAGCATGAAATAGGATGGGAACAACCAGGGAAGAGTGGTGTTATGTTTGCATGCCGCACTCAGCAGCAGCGACTATAAAATTCTAGTAGCCAACTTGGAAAGAGGCTTTAAAATCTCTACCTTTACAGTGTAACCTCTTCTGCTTCACCCCTCGGTAGTACAACAGCAAAATTCACCGTGTTCTCTTGCAACGCCCCCGCCCCCCCCCAGTGTAAACCATAGCACCACACAAACATACCGTAATCATGGCATCTGCAGAGGTGTTAACACCTGCGGCCCAGTCAGTCAGAGTTGTATTTAAAATTGGCGGGTTGTGGAAGAGTCCTATGATGCCATACTCAGCCACTGTTGTCAGATGTTAACATGAGGCTCTTCATCCTAGATGATTTCATTTGTTATACTCTAGTCAAAATATGACAAGTCCATAAATAAAACACCAGAGGACAGAATTACATAAAACTGCAAATTAACAATTTATTTTAAATTTCATTTTTAGAAATAAAAAGTTTGCAAAAACAGTGATTTTTGTTAAATCCTAATTGTTTAGGTATGTTGTTAAGTTCCAAATAAGTAAAATAATATAAAAATATATCTTCAAGTTTTCATAGAACAAAAAGAAAACCACACAAATCATTAAATACTTTGGGATTTTCTTTACTCCCCACTGCTGATTTCACAGATATAAAATGCAGATATGCATTTAACTTTGAAGCACAGTCTCCGCAGCATGTACTTACGGTTTATTTTGTTATGTAGGAATAGCTATGTTTCATTTTGTGCTATGGAAAAAGGGAATGGAGAATAACCTTTAAACACCGTGACTATGCTTAATGCTGCTGTAAAATGTACAACAGTGCATATACTCCGGGTAATCATGTACTTTTTAAAGTAAATATAGCTTTTAGATAAAAAATTTTCAGATTCTCTTTGAAGAACTTTGTGGTGTCCATTTCAGATTTAATGTACAGTGATTTCTCAGGAACCTCAAACATGCCAGCGAGGAAAAGGATTCTTTTTCCCGTCCATGTGGTCATCGGACAGAAGGCCTGATGTAGCAAGATGCATTTTATGAACCTCTGAACACGTCTGTAAATGGTCAGCTAAAGACACCGCCTCTGCTATGGATGGTTTCGTTCAATCCATGTTCAACCAGTTTTATATCTTCTAGGTCATCTTTTATGATGCTAATCAAGTGGCTAAGGCCTTCCTGTTGTTGTTTCAAATGCTAGAATGAATTAAGAAAATAAAACATCAGTTTGCTACCCATAAAACAGTAGTAGTGACTACATACAACAAGCATGCAGCCAGACAACTACTACCAGCATGTGTGTCTACTATGTCTTTAGATGTGTTTTCTGAGTTTTTATAGACCGGCCTCCTGAACTCTGGACAGTGGGTGTGCACTGTCCATTGCTGTGGTGCTGGGGAGTGAACCCAGGGCTCCATGCATAGCAGGCAAGCACTCTACCAACTGAGCTAAGTCCCCAGTCCCAGCTTCTCAATTTAATACACAGACAGATCATTCTAGATTATAATAAAACGCAGTTGACCTTCCCACTTAACCTGAGTATTCCACTGCCCACCCTTTGACACGTCTATTATGTGGACAGATTCTGGAGGGAGAATGTTTGGCTCTTTTACTGTGGCATAACAGTATGTGTACATTCACACAGTTGGGCACTCTGCTTCACAGAAGGGGAATCATACAGTACTTGTCCTTGTATGACCACATATTTCAAGGTCTACCCATTTGTTGCATGTGTCAGAATTTCCTCCTCTTTAGGAGGGAGTCATACTGCACTAGATGTGTTTGTACATAGGTGTATAAATGTCTGTGCAAATCCCTGCTTTCAACTTCCTGGGAAATATATATATCCAGAAATAGAACAAGCTGGGCATGGTAGCTTATACCTTGAATCTCAGCACTCAAGTGGCAGAGGCAGACAGATTCTGAATTCAAGACCAACCAGGTTTACATACTGAGACCTTG